TAAGATCGACAAAGTGCCTTTGTCAATCCAGTTTCTGTCTTGGTTAACCATGATTCAGTCCTATCCTCCTTTACCTTATCATGATAATGATAAAATACTATCATCTACAACACCTATAGATTGGCTTGATTTGATAAAGATCATCTATAGGTGATGTTGTATTACAGCAAATCCTTCCATTTTGAGTATTGATATGATGATCAGGACTGTGCCCAATGACAAGTAGTAACTTATCATTCAATAGAATTGTTTCATTGTATATGGTATTTTTTTATTTGACCCTCAGATGGTATTGAACTCTGGACCTTGTGATTGTGACCTGGGAGCACTACCACTGTGCTATAGATCCACAGGTCTTTCAATAACTATACAATATATATATAATATATTTTCTTAATTATTCTAACTATAAATTATTCTATATATATATCTTTGTGTATATTAAATAATTACTATATATATTAACTATTTCTAGTATTTATCTATATATGACTAGTTATATTAATTGTACTATATATATAAACACTATATTTTTTAGAAACTAAATAATTCCTATTTGATTTTTTCCAATTTATTTTTATTAAAAATAGATTAATTATCAAGTTCAAATTACTGAATTTCTTTATTCTGAACCCATTTTTTGATTCGTTAAAATAATCAATAGAATTTTTCTTCTATCAAAACTTTTTGATAATATGGGTTATAGAAATCCTTAATAGTTTAATACTTAAAAATTAGTAGTACTTTATTGATCAAATAGATCTATTCTTCTTATTATCTTTTTTTAACTTATTATTAAAGATAATATGATTAAAGATAGGTTTTCTAAAGAGGGAGGCAGGAACAAAAATCAAATGTTTTTTACTAAAAACATTAAAATTTTTAAATTAATAACTATAAACAAACTATTCATAATTGTTTTTTATTATCCAAATCATTGATTTATAATATTTTCTAATTTTTATTCCTATAAAATAAAGAGCTATGAATTTTGTCTCTTAAAAAGAGACATAAGTAATCTATGAAATTTTATATACTAAATACTTTAAGAATCTATTATTAAATATAATCAAGTTAAAATAATCTTAATTAATTAATTTTTGATTTTTAAATCTCAATCTTTATATAAACTATATCATAACCAATATTCAATTTTTTCTGATTCTCATATAACTATTATATATTTGAAAATATTAAAAAATTTAATTTTGTCAATAAATACAAGTCCTATCAAACTTCAAGCATTACCTCTTAAAGGATTTGAACTTATATTTTATAATTTGATCTATTTTTTTTTTTTTTAACCCTCTGTCAGACTAGTTATGTGTGCTTTATTAAACATTTGTAAACTGTATATAGAATAATTTATAGTTAGAATAATTAAGAAAATATATTATATATTGTATATTATATAGTTACTGAAAGACCTGTGGTCTATAGCATAGTAGTAATACTCCCAGGTTACAATCACAAGGTCCAGAGTTCAATACCATCTGAGGATCAAATGAAAAAATATTATATACAATGAAACAATTTCATTGGATGACAAGTTACTACTTGTTATTGGGCATAGTCCTAGCTATCTTACCGATACTCGAAATAGAAGGATCCACTGTAATACAGCATCACCTATAGATGATATTTATCAAATCAAGCCAATTTATAGGTGTTGTAGATGATCAGTATCTTATCATTATTATGATAAGGTAAAGGAGGATGGGGCTGATCTCATGGTTAACCAGAACAGAAACTGGATTGACGAAGGCACTCCATCAATCTTACCAACTAATAAAGAAGTTGTTAAGTTAAGAAGGCTGAAGTCCTGAAAAGAGTAAATATTGTACTGGTGGAATGCATAAAAACATGGTCAAACTTGCCTATGATGAATTATCAAGAGACCTTGATGGGCAAAGGAATCTGTGAACCATGCCAAAGTCCCAAAACCAGGGGCAGGTTAGAGTATATGCAATAATCTGATAACTAGATTACTCTATAAAATTGTTCTAGAAAAAATTAAGAGAGTGTCATATGGTTTTCCTTAATAGGGCTAGTTAGTATATATAGTATGTAATACAATTATCATGTATAAATTATCTTATGTATAACATTATTTTGTAATAAATAAAAACCACAATTATTTTTTTTTTTTTTACCTATCTTGACCCTTTTAGAGCTCACATGTTTATAGTTTTCTGGAAAAATTTGCCTACCTCAGTTTGATCCTGAATTTTGGGTAGCATAAATCCTTATCAAAGATGATTGCCTAATATGAAACACACTAGTTTTTGAAATGTAAACAAGCCCCAATTGATCACAATTATGTGTTTTAATATATCATTGATAATGTAGGAAAGAAAGTTTTAGAAAAAGTGTCCCCTTCAATCATATATGTTCAACCTTCAAGAAACAATTATGATACTGAAAGAAGAGTGATGGGTAGGAATAGAAGATTCAACTTCCATCTCTCATTAAGTTTCTCAGGTAGTGAAAAGACTTTCTTGAACAAAAGCTGAAATCTCCAAGTTTCTAGTCCAGTTAGGCAAATTTTTGAAAAGATTTTTTTATCCTGATTAGGCAAACTCTTTCATAATATAGTATTGGCTTTACTAGTAATAGGCAAATCTATACATCAGCAGAAGAATAAGTTTTTCAAATGTTTTTCTTGAAGTTACTTTCAGGAATGGCTAAGTTCTTTAAACGTCATGAAGTTTAGAGAATATCTCAATAAGGCAAACTTCTTTTAAGAGGAAACTGTGAAATGAAGCAAAAATCTTTTGAAGGGCTTTGATTTGTATTCCTCCTTTTCTTTTTCGCAATACCAACTTTAGCAATTCATTATTTTTCAGGATAATCAATAGTAATAAATTATTAACAATAATCCTGGTTAACTTAGAGGCACTATTACCAAGCTACTAGGAGAGTAAAATATTATTCCCTAAATCTGACTTAGAGTATCTAGTTTAGATTTAGTTTTGTTTAATTGAAACTAGCTTAGTGGATTCCTTATATTTTTTAAATAGTGTAGTCCTTTAACTAATAATGTACAATGATGAGTTAGTCACTTTGTAAAAGTCTATAACATATTTAGGTATTTCTCAATATCTCAATAAAGACACACCATTGCGGTATAATTGTGGATAGAAAAAAAAAAATATTGTATAGTTACTGAGTAAATTGAATTGAAAAAAAATAAATTGAATATAATATAAAAATATTAAATAAAAATCATAATATAAAAATATTAAATAAAAATCATAATTTTAGATAGTTATAAAAAAATAATTAAAATTATAGATAAATAAGTTTTTTAAATAGTTGAGAAAAGAAATATTATTTTAGAAAAGTTGTTTATAATAAAAGAAAGTTTCTAATAACAATCCTTTAAAGAATATAAAATGATTTTATTTTTTATTTTTTCTTTTATATAGCAATTATATATTTTTAAATATGCATTTTTTCTTATTTTTCCTTTTTTCTTTTATAGTTTCTTGGAGAATAATAAATAGTAACAATCTGTTAACAATAATATATAAATTAAATAAATGTTTATATAAAATTTATTATAGAGCAAAACATTGTTTTTAAAGTAAGGATGGATTTTTAAAAAGAAAGACAAAAACAAAAGTCAAATGTTTCTTACTAGGAAATATTAAAATTTTTAAATTAATAACTATAAAAAAATTATTCAAGATAGTTTTATATTATCAAAATTTTTTATTTATAACATTTCTTGAATTTTGTTTCTACTAAAGTAAAGAGCCATGAATTTTGTCTCTTAGAAAGAGATATAAATGATCTATAAAATTTTATATATTAAATATTTTATGGATTTATTCTTATTTCAAGATTATACTTAGAGGCTAAAGCTTATTTAGAAATTGAAAACTATTGATGAGTAAATTAATATAAGATTTAGTTTAATTATGATGCAATTGTTTTATGTATTTCTATCAGTTTTCTTAAAGATTAATAAACATATTATACTAATCTGATCACAAATAAAAAAAAAACCAAATAATTTTATTTTACTATAAACAGAATGACAAATTATTTCCAAAGTAATACTTAGAGTTTAGAAACAAACTAAGATAAATGAGTTAGTTAACATTTTAACTTTAGTGACATTGTAACTAATATAATATATATTATAATAAAATGTACATGATTAACCTAACCGAGGGTTAAAAAAAAAAAAATTAAGTAATTTATTTTGCAAGTATTTAAGAATATATATTTAAAATTTTATTTAATTTTATAAAATTATAAACAATTTTTATATTTCAGTTTTGAATATCCAAATCACAACCATATATTCAATTGAAAATAAAAAAAAAAAATCCATAAAAAATATTTTCTTCAATTGAACAAGTTCTCAAGAAAAACAATTATAATATCAATTCTATTAAAGTACTTTAGGTAATAAAAAAAACTTTTCTAAAAAAAAAAAAAAGCAAAGGTCTTCAAGCTTTTATCCCAATGAGACAAAGTTTTTAAAAGACGTTTTTATCCGGATCAAGCAAACTCTTCTAGTATAGTTACTGGTACAAAAGATATAATAAGTGAATCCAAAGTAAAATATTGTTTTAAAGATCAAACTTAGAGACCTTTAATATTAATGATTAGATATAATTAACGTTTAACTGTAATATACTTTACAGGTATATCAAACTACTATCTGACCCGACCGTGGATAATGCAAAAAAAAAAGGAATTTCACATGATTAACCTGCTAACAAGGCTTAGTAGAAATTTTGTAGCAATATTAATATTATGCTATGCCATTCTCTAAAGCGTCGCGGGTGCTTACGCATAATTAGGTCGCGCGATAAAAAAAAAGTCATTGTATCGTCAGGATAACTTTTTTTTTTATTTAACATACAGTACATAGATCACCGCAGTAATGTCAAAAAAGTACTTTGTTTTTCTCTCCACTCTTATTATTATTATTATCATTATTTTACTAAAAGGTTTAAATTTTTATTGAAAATGAATGATGCGAATCAAATCTCTGATAGCATACCAAATGCCGTATGCGCAGCATTCCCTCGATCAACGGATTCATTTCGCAGACTTTCTTCCACATCCGTGACTAGAAATTGAATAGACAAGTTAGAATGTTTTTGGTATATACTTTGCCCATACCTAGACGGATTTCCGACTCAATGTACGGGCACATCTCATCAACTTCTTCATCACGTGATGTCTCGTTACATGACTTTAGGGCTTCAAGATCATCTTGTTCAAACCCTAGGAAACGTAAATTGAGGATTGCGCTCATTATAAATCTTGGATAGCATGCATTTATGTTAAGATGAATGTTAAACGTAAACGATGGCGAAAATAAACGGAAATTGTCTTCCATTCAATATTACGATTTCGAAATGCTCGACAAAAAGTTACATTGCATTTTTGCCATATGGGTGGCTATGAGTAACCGATTATTTATTCTATAATATTAATGTCGCTGTTATTCGAAATAAATTACTATAATGCAAATTTAATACAAACAATTTTGATATAATACATCATACAGATAATAAATATATGAACTTTTCTACAATATGGGTAATAAATACATTCTACATTTTTTTTCCCTACAATTCTTTCAAAGTGGGTAATTAATCTTGGATTTCATACTTTTGGTCTGATAACAATTATTTGCGAGTATTGCTATAATACACTCGATAGTTTTATAGAAAGTGGTTCGTCTGCTATTGACGGTGGTGAATTTGTATCCGTCTCATGTGCTTTCATCCATTTATCTGTTTTAATGGTAAAGCTTGTTGTTAATTTAATGGCTATGCGTGAATGATAAACTGAAATGTGGAATCTGGAACATTCGGATTACCAGGTACTGGCAAAAAGTATTGTTTTATCGAGTCTCCAAACCTTTCCTTGTACTGGTCCGGTGGCAACACTGTGACTTCCCTTGCGCTACGACCAAGTGTCTTACCTTTATTCTCAATCTTTTTATAAAATGTGTAAGCGCCAATAAAATCTGCAGGAGACGAAAGTAAATTACGGTAAACCGATTGAAAGAGGTCGGGAAGTTAAAGGAACAACACAACACATACCAACAATGCCAGCAACCAATTCCTTCCTTTTTTCATCAACTCCAACTAGTAGAGAGTAATCCATGATGTTAGCATCGCACAGGAATTTTGTGTCATTATCTAAAGCCTTTTTCAACAGCTTTTCGGAATGCGAATGTATTAGCAAACGAGATTTGTATTGACCTTGTAGGAGGACAGTATACTAATCAGTTGAAGTCCAATATTAAAATCTCTCCACCACATAAATAAACCGACCTTCTACCCAATCACCATCCCACATTGTGCTGTCTTCTTGTTTCGTCTGGTCCTTGATATGACGCTCTTGAATCCCTTTCAAATCAAACTTCTGTAATGATGACAAAAGAAAAAAGGGGTTGGCTCTATTAATCATTCAGGTTGTTCGCGTCTCAAAATGAAAACATGAATCACTAGATTTTCACACCCAGGTTATTGTTTTTGAAAAGAATAAATGCTCCATCACAATGAGATCCATTTTAAGGATGACATTATTTTTCTTGAGGTCTTTGATCTTTACGGTGTAGAAACCGAATATTTTTGCAAGAACGGATGGCATCTATAGAAAGAAAGTTAACTAAACGAGTTCCATAATATCGTTTGAAAGATGAAGACGAACCGATTATGCCTACATTTGGAGCTTTATCCATATATTCAAAATATTTAGGAGCAAATCTCAGGAAGCCCTCCTTTTCTGCAACTCTCCAAGATGACACTATTTGTTTTATGACCAAGCGATCATCTGAGAGAGAAAACATGAAGAGAAGCATACGTTATAAATCCTCGATCAGCTAAGATGAGGGGGCGATATTAATGCATTCACTCTTTACCTTGCGTTTTAAAGAATGTGCTGGCACTTTTACCTCCGGTCACCTGCCATGAATTACATCTCGACAAAGAGTCTATGCAGAGGTTTTCGATCCCGCAGCGACGTCGAAGAGAATCAAATTGTGACGCAAAATATACAGTGCATGTGAATTGCTTGTTTCTATGTATAGCCACTTAAATATTACAATAGTTGAGTCAATATTAGAATCTCAATATCACCATCACTATCACTAAACGCATCCTCCGAAGAATATAATAACTTGCCATGTTTAATATGTGGACTATCTTTTTCCTTGCTTTTTTGACTATTCTTCCTTCCCCAACCAAAACTTTCTGAAAGTGCAATGGTATCAGCATTCGCTTCCTCTTTAGCTTTAGGTTTCTCGCTTTCACTTGAACTTAGTCTTCCGTTCATCGCGGTGACTTCGGATTGATCCAATTCTTGTTTCTCGTTGTTTTCGTCATTTCTTTTTTTTTCTGGATCAACACTGTTCATTCCGAATAGCCCCGTGAACTTTTTGGCTTTTTCAGATTCCTTTTCGGGATCTTTTTTCTTGTCCTTGCTGCTCAATGATGAAATATTAAAGGCTTTTATAGAACCAAGTGACTCAATACCATGGGTAATCCTGTCACCCAGACCGTTATCCTTGACATTGATATACTTTCGTTTTATCTTCGTTGAGTATTCGTCAACCATGGTAAATGAATCACTGTCTGTACCATCAGAATCGGAATCTTTTTTTGTTGCGAGATTGGATGATGATGGATTCCTCAAAGAATTGAGGAGGGTAGAAAATGAAGACGAAGCTTGAGGGACATGAAGCTCTGCTGCTGGTGTCACAGGAGCTGATTGTGATTTTTCCCCAACGTCGCTACGCATCAGGGCCAATTCTTTAAAGTAATCCTGAGAACTGAGGGAACAATAAATCAACCATCGTCGTAATATGAAGAACGATAAAATTTTATTTATGAATGATACGCCAGAATCTTGCATCATCGCATCGATCATACCTTAGAGTGAACGCAATGATGGAACTCGTCTCGTCCTCTCTTACTATGATCGGAGAGCCGGTGAATACGTGGCAATTGGTTGAACTGTACGAGTTAGTGTGGGAAAATTCCGAGCAAACAACTTGAGCAACTAACTACATCCAGAAGCGATATTCTAAAAATAAAAGCAAACAGCAAAGCTACCTCGAATATTCCGGTTCAACCCACTTGATCTTCAGGTTGTTGAGATATTCTGGATCGACATGTTCTTTTTGCCACTCTGTCAACCGCTTTTTTGTCGCCCTAATTCTCTCAACCAATGATTGTCGGACGTTGTTTAGAACTGTCACCTTGGTGTTCTTTAATGTGCGATAAAGTTCGAATTCCTCGGTGCGAAAGGTCTGGGTAAGTTCGTCGAGAGATCTCAAGGATGGCATTGCTCTCTCTGAAGCCTTCATTTCATTATCACCGTCATCTTTGATCAAGGTGGTGCCAGCGGTATCATTGCTGTTGGATTTCTTGAGAATCTCATAAAAATAATCTTCCAATGTTGTGATGTGCTGTTTTACCGCCCCATAAAAGTACGTGATCTCCAATCTGGTCTCATTGTTCAATCTTCTTTCATCCTCCTCATCTATAACAAACAACTTCTCCGCATCCTCCACACCGGTTGGAGTTTTATTTAGATCGGGATTTATTTGTAATTTTGGCAAGCGCATCTCAAAAAGGTCCACATGTTCGTACTTCACTTTTACTACAAGATCACCTCGGCGAAAGTATCGCAGCAGCGTGTCGCGTAATTCAACATGCGAACATAAACCTTTGCACGCAAAATCTTCATTGTAAAATAAGACCTCAAGATATTTGGCGAAGGAATAAAAATACGTGGACTGTGACATCTGGACTAGTGGTGTCTTCGATGAACATAGCTTACATTGAGTCCACATGATGATTTCGTCATTCAGATGCTTCAACTTTGGATCTGGCAGCTCTTCAACAGAAAAACTTATTCTTCCATCGTTATGAGTGTACGTCGAAATATGTTCTGTTCCCGGGTGATCGCACGAATCTACCTCGCACATTTCATGGGCTTTATCACAGATGTAATTGATCATATCGCCAAGGCATTTATCCATGTGATGCTTGCCCTTATTGTAATAATCCATCGTTATTATTTCATGATTATGACAAGGGACCGGAAAAGCTGAGGAAGCTGAAGAGCAAAATGTCG